TCTCTTAACCAGTCTCTACAGCCCCTCACTTCATTCTCCACACTACAGAAGAAGTGAACTTTTAAAAATATGACTCTAATCACATCTTTCCTTTGTTTAAATCTCTTCAATGTCTTCCAACTGCCCTTAGCTCAAAATACTGATCAGTCTAGAGCAGTATGAGATTAAGATAAAAATTTTTTACTTTTGACCTCCAAAGTTCAGTTTAACTCCCCAACTTCATCAGACCCATTGGCCCATTGACTCTGGTCACCCTGAACCTTCTTACTTTTTTTTTTTGGCAGCACTGTGCAGGTAGTGACTGGACTGCCAGGGAAGTCCCATGAACCTCATTACTTTTCTTCAATGGGATGTCCTTTCCATTCTCACCTTAACGACTTTACACTTGCCATTTTCTCCACCTTAAAAAAATAGTCTTTCCAGTGTCATGCTGGAACCAGCTCAGGACAGCCCAACTGCTAAATTTTCAGGAATCTTTGCTGGCTGTTAAATTGTTGGCAATTTGAAATCCACCCTGGAAATCATCAAATGCTACAAATCAGGGCTTTGTGGGGAGGAAGGGGTTTCAGTTATTAAGCATTTACCAGTATGCCTTTTTTCCAGCTGACTCCTACTCAGCTTTTAGATTTGGACCTAAATGTTCTTTCTGCATTAACCTTTCATCCCACAGCTGTTAAAGTAGGTCTGCCTACTATATACTTCAGTATTAGCGCCCTGTATTTTTTCATAACATTCACGGTGCATTAATATCTTAACATCTCTCCTTTCAGTCTGTTGATTCTATGAGGGTGGGACTATGTCCACTTGATTTTTGGAATTGGGATACTTTCAGTTGAGTATTAGGAGTAGGAGCCAGATATAGAAGAATAACTAGAAGACAGAGAAGTGAAACAAGATAGACTCCTCTTTCAAGAAACCATTTAAGAAAACAGAGCAATAGATTAAAGGAAGTGTCGCAATAAGAGAAATGTTTATTGCAACAATCTGAACAGCAAAGAACAATTCACAGAGTCAACAATCTTTCTATACCCCAATCTAATTCAACCCTCTCAACCTCTTCTCACAAGCCTACAACTATCACTTCTTAGGTGACTGTTGGCAACAGTTTGGTATGTATTCTTCCATACTTTTCTTTATGTTTGTGTAAAGTTTTTTGTTTTTTTCAAAAGTTTTTTGTTTTTTTCAAAAAGTTTTTTGTTTTTTCTTAAACTGTTGCTTTTACTCAAAAGACTTAACAGCTTTCCTTCAAAGTCAAAACAGTAGATTGAGTAACTGCTATATGCCAGGTACTGGCAATATAACAGTGAATAAGAAAAACAAGCTTCTGAAGCTTACATGCTATTCTAATACTTTCTTTTCAATAACTGCATGCCATCTAGTGTAGATATACTATATTCAGCCATTTTATTTTTTTTATTATTCAGCCATTTTATTCAATCATTCTACTGATGGGCATTAAAATTTTCAGGTATTGACACTACAGACAATATTATTAAAAAATTCCTTGTACGTAAATTTTACCTACTGATGTTTCATTTTTGTATAACATACCAAAAGCTGAATTTGTTGAGTCATAAGTACTGTTTTTAGTGTTAAATATAATACCCAGTTCTCCCTGGATATAAAGTTATAAAGATTCACACTTCTACCTGCAGTATGTAAGAGTGCATATTTTCTGGTACTCCTACCAAAAGTTACTAGTCTTTTTAAATCTTGCCAATATACTGGGTAAAAATGATATCTTCTGGCTTTTATTTTTATTTTTCTCACTGCTCTTGAAGTTGAGCATCTTTTCATAAGTTTGTTGGCTATTTGTATTTTTTTACATGGCTTTTTGTTATCTTTTGGCTGTGTTTACATCAGGTTGTCAGTTTTTCTTATCATAAATGTTGGGTTTTTTTAAGCCATTAGGGATATCAACCTCCCAAGCCTCTTTTAAATCATATTCATTGCAGATATTTCTTACCAATCTGTTGTTTTTCTTTTATTGCTCATCCTGGGCATCATTATGTTTTCTGACTGCCCAATATTTTTTGAACATATATGTGATTTGGAGTGATTTTTTACCCTTCATTTTTTAGGAAGTCCAAAGCAGAATCCAAAACACTTGCCTTTTTTGCCATGTGTCATGGGCTTCCTAGGTGGCTCAGTGGTAAAGAATCCGCCTCCCAATGCAGTAGATGCAAGAGACATGTGTTTGGTCCCTGGGTCAGGAAGATCCCCTGGAGAAGGAAATGGCAACCCGCTCCAGTATTCTTTCCTGGAAAAGTCCATGAACAGAGGAGGGCTACAGACCATGGGGTCACAAAAAGTCAGACACAACTGAATGACTTATCACGCATAACTGACATATGATACTAGTTTCAGGTGTATAATATAATGATTCACATACTGCAAAATGGTCAATATATAAGTCTAATTTTATCACCATGCAAAGTTACATTTCTTTTTTCTTGTGATGAGAACTTTTAAGATTTATTCACTCAGCAACTTTCAAATATTCAATACATTAATTATAGTCACTGTGCTATTCATTACATACCCTGTAACTAACTTATCTTATAATCGGAAATTTGTACCTGTTGACCTCCTTCACCCATTGCATCTACCTCGCAGCCCTTCTCTGTGGCAACAACCGATGTGTTCTCTGTTTCTGTTGATTTGGTTTGTGCTCAGTCGTGTCAGACTCTTTGTGCCCCTTTGGTCTGTAGCCCACCAGGCTCCTCTGTCCATGAGATATTCTAGGCAAGAATACTGGAGTGGGTTGCCATTTCCTCCTCTAGGGTATCTTCCTGACCCAGGGATGGAACCCCTGTCTCCTATGTCTCCTGCATTGCAAGCAGATTCTTTACCAGTGAGACTTCCTGGAAGCTCACTTGCTTGGTTTGGTTTGTTCATTTATTCTGTTTTTTAGATTCTACATATAAGTGAAACCATAGAGTATTTGTCTTTCTCTGTCTGACTTATTATGCTAATTTAGCATAATACATTCAAGGTCCTTCCACATGTCGCAAATGGAAACATTTCAATCTTTTTATGACTGGGTGGTATTCCATCATATATATATATATTTATGTATATGTATATATATATACATATATATTTATGTATATGTGTATATATATATTTATGTATATGTATATATATTCCATACATATATATATATATAATGCAGCTGCTTTATCCATTCATCCATGTATGGACATGTAAGTTATTTAGGTTGTTTCCATATCTTGACTCTTGATAAATAATGCTCCAGTGACCATAGGGTGCATATAGCTTTTTGAATTAGAGCTTTCATAGTTTTTGAATAAATACTCGGAGGTGGATTTGCTGGTTAGTATGTTAATTCTATTTCTTGTTTTTTGAGGAACCTTCATACTATTCTCCATAATGGCTGCATCAATTCACATCCCCACCAGCAATCCATGAGGATTCCCTTTTCTTCACATCTTTGCTAATGCTAGTTATTTCTTGTCTTACTGTTGATAGCACTTCTAATAGATGTGAAGTAACACCTCATGTGGGTTGATTTGCATTTCCCTGATGATTAGTGTTGGGCATCCTTTCATGTCTTGTTTGGAAACATGTCTATTCAGACTGTCTGCCCATTTTTTAAATCATATTTTTAGTTTTTTTGTTATTGAGTTATGAGTTGTTACTGAGTTCCTTATATAATTTGGATTAACCCCTTATCAGGTGTACGACTTGCAAATATCTTCTCCCTTTCAATGGGTTGCCTTTTCATTTTGTTGACGGTTTACTTCATTTTGTAATACTTGCCTCTTTTTGCACTCAGAGTGCAAACCTGGGATCTAGTGTTACTAATCAGACTCATCAGTACAAAACCAGTTTTTCAAAAGTGAGCAACTTAAGGAAAGATTCTGCACACAGAACCCAAAGGGTTGGTGGCCGAGGCATCCAGCTTTCAGGCAGAGCAGTCCTGGCACAGCAGTGGCCTTGCTGAGGAAGGGATCTTGATAGCATTTTTTAATGCTTGGCGAGGCTGTAGCAAGGGTGTTTGACGAGGCTGTTTCCTCATCAGTGCTGGTCTACCAGTGATTCTGTATTATTCCCAGTGCCTTAGCCTGATTGTGTATATCTCCTGAAAATGATATGGACTGCCTGAGATACTTTTAATAAGTTTCTCTTCAGATCTTTTTGCCCAGAGTCAGCTGCTAGTGCCTAAAAATAAAACTCATGGCTACTTTTCCTTATTTTGCCATACAGAAAGTTTTCATTTTTAAAAAGCAAAATCTATAACTTTTCTGTGTGCCCCTTGGATAGAATTAAATTGACAATTACATTTAGATTTCGTCCCTCAGTCAAGTTCAACTCTTTGTGACCACATGGACTGTAGCTTGCCAGGCTCCTCTGTCTATGGAATTCTCCGGGCAAGAATACTGGAGTAGGTAGCCATTCCTTTCTCCTGACACCAGGATCAGACCCAAGTCTTCTGCACTGCAGGCAGATTTTTTATTGTCTGAGCCGCTAAGGAAACCAGTGGCTATTCACTCCAGTGTTCTTGCCGGGAGAACTCCATGGACAGAGGAGCCTGGCAGGCTGCAGTCTGTGGGTCACAAAGAGTTGGATACGACTAAGCAACTTTCACTTTCACTTTACTTTTTAGATTTGGGAGTTAGGGAGAGTGGGAGTAATGATTACTAAGTCAGTTAATTGGGAGAGCAAGGTTAAAAGAAAACAAAATTTCCAAACGTTATTTAACTTCCTACTTTTCACTGTAAATCATAACTTTCTATTTATTATATTAAGTTCCAAAGGTAGCTACTTGGACATTACAGTATTGTTAATACTGTTCTAAAGTGAAGGTAACAAAACTTCATTTCTTTATGACACATTAATTATTTAGACATTTTACCAATTAAAGATTTCCCTTCCCCAATTTAAATAAGATTCTACTCTAGTTATTTTAGAAGTTATTTCTTATTATTGAGTATAATAATGTAACTAACTTTGTTCCCTTCAAATGTGTATTTTAGGCCTTTTTCAAAGATCCAAATGTTATTCCCAATTTGAAGTTACTTTCAGAATCTTCTGGAGAGTGGATTACATTAGGTAAACAAAATTTATTTTCATCTCTTCATATTACTATTTTACTATTATAACAAAATTTCACTTCATGAATTTTCATTATTAAAATACAAATTATGAATAATGACTCACGTTTGATAACAACAAGGCCAAAATAATCGTCTGTGCCAGGCCTGCCATACATCTTCCCCGCCAAGGGTCCACTGCAGAGGTAAGAGAAATTAGAAAAGAGAAATCCTGTACTCAAGGAACTCATTGATATGTTTGAAAATATGTGCAGTAATATATCAGTGGTATATCCCATAGCAATGGGAGCAAAAGGAAGGGAGTGGTCAATTCCACCCAAGAGAAGAGGGTCAGGTAAGAGTCCACTAACATGAGGGTGCTTGGGTGAAACCTTATTTGGGGTGGCCCATGGAGCCGTTCAGCTGCAAGCATGTGCTATTTGTCAAGAAAAGAGAGGGACTGAGAAGGGAATTCAGAGATCATCAGGGCCGCCCCTCAGTGTCAGTGACACACTCCCCTCGGAAGGAGAAACACGGGGCCACCATCCAGTAGGTCTGGCAGGCAGAGCATTGGACCAGGGAGGATTACTCCTGAGGCTTAAAGTCTAATGAAATTTGCCTTGCCAAGTTTTAGACTGGCTTGGGACCATCACCTCTTTCTTCTTCCCTGTTTCTCCCTTTTGGACTACGAATGTCTGTCCTATGCCTGTCTCACCATTGTTTTCTAGAAGCCTGTAACTTGTCTCATTTCACAGGTTCATAGCTGAAGAGTTTTGCCTCAGGACAGATTATACCTCGAGTCTCACCCATATCTGCTTTAGATGATATTTAGACGGCACTTTGGACTTTAAACTTTTGGTTGATACTGGAATGAACTGAGACTTTTGAGGTTGTCGGGATAAAATAAATTTAGGAGGGGGACAAGGGCAGAAGCCTATGGACTGAACTGTGTCCCTTCAAACTTCATATGGTGAGATCCTCCTGACCCACTGTGACCTCATTACTTTCTCCAAAGACTCCATCTCAAAGTACCATCACTTTGGGGGACAGGTTTTAACATTATGAGTTTTGGAGGGACACAGTTCAGTCCACAGCAACTGCTATTTCTGTGTCTCAGACTAAGTGGTTTGAATTTAATTATGTTCTCTCAGCAGCCGTACCCTCCTGCCACTCCCCACATCAGACCCAGGGTAGACTTATTAAAGTGGCAAGTTGCCCGGTGCCAGTCCCTCATCCTGTGGCCACCAACTCATCGTCAAAGATTGTCTGGTTTTATACTGCTCTTGTTCTTTGGTTTTCCAATATTGCTCAGACCTACTTCATCACTTTCCAGGATCTTCTTTTCACTTTAATCCCCCAGAGGATTTTGCCTCTGAAACAAAAGGAGCTTTTCTTAGCAGCGGAGCTTTTGAAATAACTGAGGCAAACACAGTTTTTTACCATCTGAGCCACCAGGGAAGCCTTGTATCCATGGGGCACAAAGAGTCAGACACAGCTGAGTGACTCACACACGCAGTTCTTGGCTCCAGACACTCATCTTGCCTCCACACTAGCCCAGCTCAGGATCAGAACGAGTGCAATAGTTCCTAGCCAGGACTCTGGGTGGACAAGAGGGAAGAATTGCAAATAATCACCAATATTACTCTTCTCAAGCTCAAACTGCTTCTCAGATCAGAGATCAGCAAAGGTATTGGGGAGAGGACACACCGCATCTAAGTCTGCAGTCTTCCTAGAACTTTGAACAAGGAGAACCCCGTCCCTTTATATCTGAGTGAGTGCATGTTCATATGCAGGTGTGCAAAAGAGAGAAACTGATTGAGTGATTCACTGAGGCAATGATAAAAATATTCGCCTTAATTTTTGTATCTTTCTATCACTTAATAGAACCTCTATTAATGGAAAATACACTCCTGAAAGACACATTCTGGAAATGTCAGGGGGGGAATATAGGTTTGGAAGGGGAAAAACTAGAGCTGAAAGAGAAAAATAGAATATCAGATTAGAGCAATAGATTTCAAATTTCTCTAATTCCATACTTGTAATAACTTGAGTAGGACCTGGTTCGAAATTTACCTTGGCTTGAAGAAAACTTTTTTTGTAATAAACAATGTCAGTGAGATCACAGGAGGAAATTTTTTAATGGAGAGAAACATTTTCAAAACACCCTCAATAACTTTAGAAACACACTTGTTACATTGATTAAAAATTTTGTATTATGAATTATAAAGCATTAAACATAATACAAATCCAAAACCATATGAAGCAATTTCTATGTTTTTACAGGTAGTTCTGATATCATTCATTAAAAGTGATCTAAGAACTTCCTACTACCCAATAAATGTATTTCATTGTCAAGTACTGATATTTTCTAATTTACATATCCTTTATCTAGGTCTGAAATGGTGAAATTTGGTTATAAATTTTTAATAATTAATAAAAATAAACAACCTACAAAATAAGAATTTAATAAAATCCCTAAACTAATGTGTCTTTTAAATATATCAAAACATATGTCTTTTTTTTGTTAATTCTTAGAATCTCTGCATAGTGATATTTGTTTTGGAAATAATTGAGACTACTAAATTAATTTTTATATCTTTATTCAGGAACTGAAGTGAAAAAAATTGAAGCTATAAACGTTCCTTGCACACAGCTTTCAATGTCATTTTTTAATCGGTTATATGATGAAGCTATTGTACGAGACAATGGATATATTGTTAAATGTCTAGATTCTTTTTGTGATCCCTTCCTTATTTCTGATGAGTTACGAAAAGTAAGTACAGAATTTAAAATTTTCACAATAGAATTTCATTTCAGGAAATGCTTGATGTCAAAAACTTCTGCCTGCCTAAAACCTGTAAAATACCTCTTATCAATGAATAATGATCAGTAATAATCATTGCACGGTAGGTGTCTTCTTGAATGGCACTTTTCTTATCAACTTGTTTATTTGCATATTTCAAATAAAATAACAAGAGAATGGGGTTTTACTGACATCTAAGGGGTAGAGACCAGGGATGTTAAACATCATACAATGCACAGGACAGTCCCCAAAACAAAGTTATCTGGCCCATAATGTCAGTAAACCCTGAGCTCAAGAAACACTGGCCTATTAAATTGATGACTATTTTTCTTTAAAATTTCCCTTAACTTGTGAAATGAGTACTTAAAAACATCCCTGGAGTGAAATAATCTTTCAATCTCATTGCTGAGATCAAAAAGCTATTTGATTAACCAAGTTAATTTTTGTTTTAATCAGAGGTGTACTAAACTTGATATCAGAAGACATGGATTATTCACCTAATTCCTGATTTCCTGATTTATTATTTACAAGAGAATAATAACCTTAGGCAAGTCATTCAGTATCTTGAGACTCAAGATCTTATCTATACACTATGGAAATTAAAATGCCCATTCTACTTTCTTTCTAAAATTGTTGAGAAAGCATTTATGAAATCCTGTTGAAATGAATTATTATTATTTAAAGGTGGTAAAAAATTAGGGCTATCAAATAGATGTAGGTTCCAGTTCAGGCCCTGCCACTTAATCACGGTTATACTTAACCTCTCTAAGCTTCAGTTTCTTATATGAAATCAGAATAATGTAAGAATTTTGATGATATGGAGAATGGCATTGAACCATGTAAATTATCATATGTGAAATGAATCACCAGTCCAGGTTGGATGCATGATACAGGGTGCTCGGGGCTGGTGCACTGGGATGACCCAGCGGGATGGGATGCGGAGGGAGGTGGGAGGGGGGTTCAGGATGGGGAACACATGTACACCCATGGTGGATTCAAGTCAATGTATGGCAAAACCAATACAATGTTGTAAAGTAAAATAAATAATTTTTTTTAAAAGAAAAAAAAAAGAATTTTGTTAGATGATGCATTTAAAATGCTTTGTACAATGCCCAGCGCTTAGTAATCTTTCAATAATATTAACTACTACTACTAACTACTCTTATTATTATTCTACATTAAGAGAGATGTACAAGTCTAATGTATTACAAATCCAGATAAAAATGAACTAGGGGAGCCACTGGTATACCATTCTGGACACAGAAATCTTATCTGAAGGAGACCAGAGGGCATCCCACTAGTCTATATATTGATCTTCACTAGAACAGTACATAAAAGAACTCTCCCTCCTATGCCCTCACTTCTATAGAGAGACCCTCAGCAATGGACTTTTTAAAAGGATTTGGTTTTCAACAGAATACTCTGCAAAACCACCTGTTGCTGCCTGTCTTATTTATTGCTGGGAATAGCACCTCTATTCAGGAGGTGTTGGGGCTCCGTGTTTTTTGCTGCTTGCCTCTGTTGTGCTCTTGTGTTCTTTGCCATTCTGTGGCAACAGAGAAGGCTTTAACTTGGTTGCTTTCTGGCTACAAATATATATATAAATAGCCTGAACTGGAAAGGGCCCTCCCAATGTGTAGCAACACAGATCCTGTAGGCCAGCTCTCAGGTGAGAACTGATCATAGTCTCCTTCCTGACTGGGGCTCAGAAGTTGGACTCATTAACTATTGCATGTCTACTCTCGGAGGGCTACACAATTGAACAGATCTGTATGTGAACAAACTGGGAGATCAGACATAAAGCATTATTGTTTTAACATTCACTACAAAATTTTTCTATTACAATCTTTTAATTGCACAGCCTAATCAGATAAGTATCTGAGAACCTTTGTGTTAGAAATGTGTGAACTGTTCTTTAAGGGCCAGAGCTTTAAGCAGCTGCAAACCTGGGTTTCAGTATCACATCATTTCCTTATCGAGAGAGAGGAAGAGACGGAGGGGTGATGTGCAAGTGTTACGTGTGGCACACAGAGAAGAATAAACTGTGGACCACTTCCTCTCGCCTCTCTCTTTTTATTTTATTTACTTTTTTATTCATAGTTGTGCTGCATCTTTGTTGCTGGGTGGGCTTTTCTCTGCTTGCAGCGAGCAGAGGCTACGCTGGCTGCAGTACGCAGGCTTCCTCTTGTGGAGCACGGGCCCTAGGGTGTGTGGGCTTCAGCAGCTGCAGCGCGTAGGCTCAGTGGTTGTGGCCCTGGGCTCGGGGACGCGGACTCAGTGTGGCGCACGGGCTTAGATGCTCTGCAGCACATGGGACCTCCCCAGACCAGGGATCAGACCTGTGTCTCCTGCGTCGGCAGGCGGATGCTTCACCGCTGAGCCGTCGGGGAAGCCCTCACCCATCTTGTACTGCATATGCTTCGGCTTTCATCAAGTCATTCTAGGTAAATTATATACAGACAGTACCATAAAGTTTATTATTTTTAAATGCCTCTTTATATAATGACCTTGGGGTGATTTTCATTTGAGATTAAGGTAAATAACGTGGTTAAGTTTAATCAATTTTCCTAATAAAAATGTGCTTCTTACTGCTAGACTGTGATTGTTATATGACTCACGTGTCCCTCCTTTACCTGTATGGTAGTATTAAGTGTTCTACACAGTTTTTATAGCTTTTCTCCATCTAGAGTTTCTTACGTGTATTTATTTTCTCTTCCCAATTTATGTCTCGGTTACATTCTTTTGTTTCTTATTATTTTTATCTTAGTGTATCTATATTTTATTGTTAGCTTAGTTCACATTCTTTTTTCAAGTAAGTGGTATATAAGCAATTCAACAAAAGAAATATATTTTGTATTGTACATTCATCACCTGTTTATGTCCACCACGGTCAACAAATTAATCAATTGTCTGTAATGCACAATGGTGTAAGAAAATCCTCCACATCAGAGCTAGCCAAACTGTTTGCTGAAAGAGGTAGCAAGGGCTCAAGAGAGCAGGAGTCCATGTAGGTTGGTGATGTGTAAGGTGATATTATTAGGAGAGCAGGAATAAAAGAGAGGTGATTATGAGGCTCCAGCCACCAGAACAGTTCAAAATGGAGTAACTGCGGGCATAAGGAGAGTAGTAATCCAAACACTATGAGAGGGCTTAGAAAATGACCATTTTTGTTTAGCTACTTGGTGGAAGCAGATGGAGAAGTTTCTCCATTTATTTATATCCCCATTGTTTCCAAATGAGATTCACAGTGACTCAAGGCTAAAATTGCAATAGCACTAAAGTATTAAAGATTAAACTAGAACAAAGAAAGCAACAGAAGAGAAGGCTAAGGTTCAGATTTATTCCTTTCACTGAGTATCATTACCTAATGATAAAATGGAGGGAAAATAAGCACAGGTCTTACAGATCTTCTCCATGGCCTCTGGATTGGTTCTTAAAATAGGTCTAAAATCACTTTTAAACTATAAATTGAAACTTTTGAAAGCATAAAAATTAGAACCTCAAATTATGTTACATTAAGATGAATTTTATCATCTTATATAGGTTTTGCTAGTGGAAGACTCAGAAAAATATGAAGTATTCAGCCAACCAGATAGAGAAGAGTTCCTGTTTTGTCTTTTCAAACATCTTTGCCTTGGTGGAGCTCTTTGTCAATATGAAGATGTAATTAGTCCATATCTGGAAACAACAAAGCTTATCTATAAGGATCTAGTGAGGTAATGTTGCTCTATTACAATATGTAAATCTCCGGTTAGTAGAGGAAATTGTTTAACTCTGGTGAGATTACCCAACCTCTATTTGTGGATCTATTAATAACCAAAGTGAATAAAAATAGCACTACTCTGGCGCTCTCCTCAGAGCCTCCTTCTTCACTTCCAGACTAGAACATTTCATTTCCCTGACCCTGTTTTGGTCCTCAGTTCTCTCTTCTGCCTCTTGACCTTTCCTCAGCCAGACCTGTCACTCACTCTATCCCTTACTGGCAACTGCTGTCTTCCAGGTCTCCCTTTTCCCCCCAGGCCTCCTTTTAAATCTCAAGGAGACATGAGATCCCTCAGGATGTTTGAACTTGCTTGACTAATACTAATAAATAATAGTAAAAAAATTACCTTTGTTCTAAGGAGGGGGAAGAATTTTCACTGAGGTGTTTATCTTTTCAAAATTAATCCTAAGTTTGTTTTTGGAATTGCACTAGGGCTTTTTTTTCTTTTTGAAGATCACGTGAGGATAAGAACTTTGATTTATTTTAATTCGAGTGAACATTGTATAGTTGGGTTTTTCAGTGATGAAGATATCGGATCATGTTTTTAGGCAAACAGGATAGGAAAAAGTAAAAGCAAAGGTTCCCAGAGTTTGGTTACAAATTTTTACTTTAATAGGCAAACAGTAGAACTAGCTTCCCATCAGACTCTTACTGCTTTACTTATTCTCAACATCTTGATTCTCACATCCATCACACGTGTCATACAGCCATACAACAAACTGCATGGTTCAGTTACTCTACTGGGTTTATTTCTGATACAGTTTTAAAAACAAAAATATTTCCATAATCTGTTTCTGATTTTTATGAAAGTTATTGTGTCAATTCATAGAGATTATTAGATGAGAAATTACAGAAACAATTTCAGAAGCAGCACACACATACCTACACGTCAAACATATTCTTATCGTTTGCAGCCCATGAAAACTTACAAGACAACTTCTAACACTCCCAGTAGATACCCAAACACACACACGCCACGGCCACCACAGTGTGCTGTCCCTCACCAGCCACAGGAACCTGTGGAATTCCTCACTGCCATGTGCTGTGGAGGAAGAGATTCTGTTAAAGATACTTGAAACAACTTCAGAACCTAAACATCGCAGAAACTGCAGTTTTTTCCCACATACTCGTCCCTGAATTCTTGGCGATTCTCTTCTGTGTTTTGAGGGTGCTAAGAAATACATGACTCAGAGTAATGGCCACCCATAAAATGAGTAGCCAAAATTCATGACATCTTATACAAAGAATAGGAACTGCATCCATGGAATCACTTGATTAGGCCACCAGCAAGTGTTAATATTGGGCACGGAACTCTGGCAGGCACTGAAGAGTACAAGAGGAGGCATCAGGTAGTCTCTGATTTTAAGGAAATTACAAGTTAACATAGGAAATAATAATAAAGTAATTGCTTAAATATTTCATAAGTAAGTATTGTTTATATAATTCAATGCTCAGTTATGTATAGGCAAATGTTTATAGCTCTTTATACTGTAATAAAAATCTCAGAAGTTCAAAAGAAGACATTGTCAGTGTGGGTACAAGTGGTCAAGAATTTCTTGATGGAATGGAGTCCACAAGGGCCAGCAAAGAGGACGGCAGCCTGTTCCCAATTCAGGGGTGATGCACCCCAAGTCTGTCATTGTAGGGAGACTGAGAAGAAGACTAGCCAGTTAGAGCATTACTTTTCTTTGAGAACTATTAAATATTTCTCTCGATGACCCAAGTTTAAGTATGCTTATGAGTTTCTTTGGTGAATGAGGAAAAGATATAAAATTGTCTTCTCAATGCAACTTCAGTAGAAAACTATGATTAGAATAAACATCTTGGTTAAGATAAAGATACAGGGTGGTTCAACATAGCCCTTATCAAGGGATATAGAAGTAGAGAAAGCACAGGTGGGAGTTGCAGTATCATCAGTAATTTCTCAGAATTCTGAGCCACATATCTAGTCGTGTCATTTGTACAAGCTAACTTAACCAAGAAGAATATTTTTTTCTGTTCCTTTACTTGAAATTTGGGTGTTTTTACCTGCTTTAGAAAAAATATCTGCTTTCTTTCTAATTATACATGCAGTGGCTACCTTACAGTATCTAACCTGCACTTGCAGGTGTAAACATTGTTACTATTTAATTCTAGCAAAGAAGTTGATCCCTTATATTTGTATCAGTAGATATTGAGGGCACATTACAGAGCCTGATTTTAGGGGTCTCTAGCTCAAACAAAAAGGTAAAAACATTCTTAAGGTATTTTTCCCTCATCCATAATTATTAATGTAACTCCTATAATAGACATCTTTTAAATGTTTTGGAAAATGCCTTATTTTCAAGGATTATGGCTTCTTTCAATCACATAGGCAATACTTTAGAATCATTTTATCAGAGTAAATGGTCAATCGTTTCATTACATTTCAAAAATGTCTTAGACATAATTCTATACTCACTAACAGTGCCTGTGTCTTTCCTATTTTAGACATTAAACACACTTGTCAGATTTTTTCGAGAGGTTTCCCAAACTACATATCTCCCCAAGATTTATGATTTGAACTGGTTTAGGCTTAGATTATGGCCTTCTGATGCTTATTAAGCAGTAGGATTATTGTTTCTTAAAATGAGCAGAGTTAGCTATGTCTGTACACCATGACATTTAGAGTCAATATGAGACAAATCCTTAGAAATTAGCACAAATAATATTGATAAGAAATAAATCATATTATTTTATTTCTAAACCATTAATATAATCATACTTTTAACATTCAATTTTTTTTTTTTTTTGGCTGTGCTGTGGGGGTTTCAGGAGCTTAGTTCCCCAGCCAAGTATCAAACAAGGAGCCCCGGCAGTGAAAGCACCAAGTTTTAGCCACTGGATCATGAGGGAATTCCCTAATCATATTTTTTAAAAGAACTATGTGGAAATTATGTTCCAAAATCCTTAAAAACCATGGTACCTGGAGAGTGACTTCAGTTCAATCCAGTCACTCAGTCATGTCTGACTCTTTGTGACCCCATGGACTGCAGTATGCCAGGCTTCCCTGTCAATCACCAACTCCTGGAGTTTACCCAAACCCATGTCCATCCAGTCGGTGATGCCATCCAACCATCTCATCCTCTGTCTTCCCCTTCTCCTCCCACCTTCAATCTTTCCCAGCATCAGGGTCTTTTCAAATGAGTCAGCTCTTCACATCAGGTGGCCAAAGTATTGCAGTTTCATCTTCAGCATCAGTTCTTCCAATGAATATTCTGGACTGATTTCCTTTAGGATGGACTGGTTGGATCTCCTTGCAATCCAAGGGACTCTGAAGAGTCTTCTCTAACACCACAGTTCAAAAGCATCAATTCTTCTGTGCTCAGCTTTCCTTATAGTCCAACTGTCACATCCATACATGACTACTGGAAAACCCATAGCCTTGACTAGACGGACCTTTGTTGGCAAAGTAATGTCTCTGTTTTTTAATATGCTGTCTAGGTTGGTCATAACTTTCCTTCCAAGGCACAAGCGTCTTTTAATTTCATGGCTGCAGTCACCATCTGCAGTGATTTTGGTGCCCCCCAAAATAAAGTCTGCCACTGTTTCCCCATCTATTTGCCATGAAGTGATGGGACCAGATGCCATGATCTTAGTTTTTTGAATGTTGAGCTTTAAGCCAACTTTTTCACTCCTCTTTCACTTTCATCAAGAGGCTTTTTAGTTCTTCTTCACTTTCTGCCATAAGGTTGGTGTCATCTGCATATCTGAGGTTATTGATATTTCTCCCGGCAATCTCGATTCCAGCTTGTGATTCATCCAGCCCAGCATTTCTCATGATGTACTCTGTATATAAGTAAGCAGGGTGACAATATATAGCCTTGACATACTCCTTTCCTGATTTGGAACCAGTTTTTGGAGAGTGAGTTCAGTCAGTTCAGTTCAGTTCAGAGTGAGTTAGTGAGTGCTAAAAATCTGATACAATGTAATTGTCAGTTGAACACCCCAGGACAGAAATGAATGTCACTTTACATTTCCTTCTCTTTTTTTCTTATGAGATGTGGGACAGATAATACTGTATTTTGCTTGATCTATAAAAATTAGATAAATTGTCTTAGAGATATTTTAAAGTAATACAAGATCAGAGGTAGTAAAGTAGAATAATATTTATATCTATTAGGAATAGTGAAAGTGAAGTCACTCAGTCGTGTCTGACTCTTTGCAGCCCCATGGACTGTAGCCTACCAGGCTCCTCCGTCCATGGGATTTTCCAGGCAAGAGTGCTGGAGATTTCCTTCTCCAGGAGATCTTCCCAACCCAGGGATTGAACCCTGGTCTCCCGCATTGCAGGCAGACGCTTTACTCTCTGAGTCACCAGGGAAGCCCTAACCAACTTATAGTGTACCAATGTAGTTTTTTTTTTTTTTCCATTTATTTTTATTAGTTGGAGGCTAATTACTTTACAATATTGTAGTGGTTTTTGTCAAGACATCTATGGTACATGTTTGTAGGTGTTAAGTGATTATTATATGTAGTATCAAATACTAAATTTTCCTCCAAGTTCATCTGATAAGCACAAACATTTACAAGGGTTCTTTTTTTTTAGACTTTTCTAAACTAAGGAGTAATTTGCATACAGTAATATCAACAAATCATAGTACACATAAGCTCAGTGAATTTTTATATATTTCTATACCCAAATAACCACCTCCAGATCAAGATTTAAAATTAGATATAACTATAGATAGGTTCTGTATTTTAATCTGGGTGGTCATATAGGTATATATAAATGTTTTATATGTAGTGGTTGTAGTCTTCCCTACAATAAGCATGAAGTTTTAAATGTAGTCTCCAACTTTCAAGCAGTGTATCTTAGGCATTAGAAATTAAAGATGACCTCAATTCATGTTACAGAAATAGAAATCAATATAATTGCATGATTCTTGGATTTCAGTCTTAGTGAAATGTTTTCAGGATGAAACTCCACAAGAATCTTGAACCCTGAACCCTGAAATGGTCCATGTGTGGCCAGCTCCAACAGGTGCCCAAGCTCAAACACACGTGCATGCACACCCTCCCCAAGAGCCCCCTTCTTGCTCATCTCTCTTTCCCCCCATTCTTTTTACATACATAGTGAAGGGAGAGCAATAATCTCACCTGACAAAGTGAAGAGGGTTCCCTTCCTTTAAATTTAAATTACACATATAACACACGAACAGTACCTTTGATGCATATGAATTTATAGCACAAGTATAGGATAAACAGGTGAAATGTAGAGAAAGAAAACTGGACTCTGTATCACCTACATTCTATTTCCGGAAATGCCACTTTTAGTTGGAATGTCTTAAATATATCATTTAACTTCTCTAGTTCTATTGTCTATAAAATTGGCAAAATGATGCCTACCTCACTGAATTGTGTGATCTTTATGTGAAGTAAAGTATAACAAGGTTTTTTGAAGATTGTAAAGCATTATAAATTTAACATGTATTTATTTATATATAAATTAAGTAATTTATTTCCCCAATCCTCAGTTTGCTTCCGCACTATATATTACTAAAGATTACCTTTTGTGGGGAGAATAAGTGAAAGAGAGCTAGGAGAGAAAGTGATTTTAATTTAGCAATACATGATATAACAGATAGTTTTCATAGATATTATTCTACCTAATTCTCATATAATCCTAAAAGGAACCAAGTCATGAGTTCACATATGACAAAACTGATGTTCAGAAAGGTTAATCTTGCTTAAAGTAGAATAACAAATCGGTGACAGAACTGGCATTTATGTTCAGGCTGTTTAAATCTTTAGTATGCTTTTATCTACCCCTTTCAGCTGTTTACCCTTAAGTCGAACTTTAACCTATTCTTGTTTGTCAATAGTTGTCTCTGGCCTGAGAGTGCTTTTATCATCTGAGTCTCAAACTGACCTCAAACCTTCTAACTGAAAAATTCCATTTTCTGCAATTTCAATTCGGTCAACCTTTCTGAAACCACAGATACCATCCTTTTCAAACTACTTAATTAGATATTTTGTATTTCCATGTTATATGTGAATGAGGACACCCAAGTACTAAAAGGGATCTGTATCTTAAATATATTATACTAGTGTTTGCTGAATTTTAAAATGTTCCCTTTTCCCCCCTATTTTAGTGTTCGGAAGAATCCTCAAACCAAGAAAATACAAATTACCTCTTCTATTTTTAAAGTTACAGCATATGTAAGTGTTGAGGGGGAAGTTTGCAGCCAATCAATTTAATTACTTGTTATTAAAAGGATTGTTGTGACTGGAGTTAGCAACTAGGAGAGGCATGGTTAATAGAACGTATATGTGTATACACTTCCTTGGTGACTCAGGCAGTAAAGAATAAGCCTGCAATGCAGGAGACCCGGGTTCAGTCCCTTTTTTGGGAAGATCTCCTAGAGAAGGGAATGGCTACCTACTCCAGTATTCTTGCCAGGAGAATTCCATGGGTAGAGGAGTTTGGTGGGCTACAGTTCACGGGGTCTTCCAAAGAGCTGGACATAACTGAATAACTTGACACTTTTCCTTTTTTACTTCATACATGTATGCACAGAACATAGTTAACATAAACTTAATAATTGTTTTCTATTAAAAGTTGATGAACTATTCTTTATTTGGAGAACAGTATGAACTTTTCCTCCCAGCTTTTCTGTTATCCATGCCTAATAATAGTTATTTCTTACTTTAGAGCTAAATCTGTAGCTCAGATGAGGTAGAACACAGTTCCTTAAACTTGTCAAACCAGATTTATAGGACAAGTAAGTAAGAATGACATAAATGTTTTTATATCACAGAATCTGATACTTGAATTTTAGCATTGCACAAAATATTATACATATGAAGCAGTTTCTAACTATTCAATCACTGAATAATTATTTTTAAAATTCCTACTGTGTATCAGCTACTGTGCTGGGCTGGAGTCCAGGGTTAAACAAAAGAAACATAGTCCCAGCCCAAATAGTATGTATAGACTATGTTCTAACAAAAGCAAAGATAGAAGAAAAATGCAAAACTATTTTTTCTATATTAGCACTTTTTTAAAAGATAGAATTTCCTCGATTATAAATTCCTTAAAGTCAAGAAGTATGCATGTGTGTATAGTATTATATGTATTGTTGGCATAGTAAACTGTGCTGTCCAACTTACTGTCAAAGATTTGATATGTGTTTCATGATATTTTAATAGAAAATACATAATAGCTAAATGTGTTGATTATTATTTAAATGTAACTGTATATTAAATACGTTTATCTTTTTCAGGATTCTGTTGGTGTGTGCTACCCTTCAACAAAGAGTCATGAACAGACATTTTCTTACTTTATTGTGGATCCTTTCAAGCGTCATGTTCATGTTTTATACCACTGTTACGGCATGGGGGAAGTGTCTTAATATTTTTTCAGGTTATCTATACTTACTCTTTTTTCTTTACCAATTTTTTATTTTAACACTGATTTACAGATAGACATTTACTCTGCAAGTTAATTCAAGTAAAATGTAAAGAACCTGCATAGAGCAGAAGAAAATACCAAGATGCCTTTCTTTAAATCTTTGTGAAATACCAACACAGGAACCAAATTTTACCCCTAACGTAATCTACACTGGTACAGTTATGGAATTTTTACAGAAAGTCACAAAGAACTAAAAATCTTGTTCATATTTGTTACATTAAGTTTCAAGTGAGTCTTCAATATTCCATGTATTTTATTTTAGAAGCCAATTAATTCTGGATTGAAATTGTGAAGAAAACTAAACATGTCTAACCATGAATCATTAATGTGAATCGTTAGCTTTTAAAATTAAAGTTTCATTTAATTATGTTTCTTCATTGCATGAAGATTTATGTTTCTGGAACTGTGAAAAGCATAACAATTCCTTTGTTTCATTTGTCCCACTTAAAATTCTCAATAAAAAAAAACGTTCTGAGCATAATTGAAAACTCTTTTATTATGTAATAAAATTGGAGCTGCCCCACCACTAATTCAAGAGCTGTATAAACAAAGAGAGTTGCTCTCATGGTATTATTAAGTTGGCAGACGAGTAAACTACAGGGTGTCTTAGTACTGTCCCCTCATTGACAGTGAAAGTCGCTCAGTCATTCCTGACTCTTTGAGACTCCATGAACTATATAAAGTCCATGGAATTCTCCAGGCAAGAATATAGGAGTGGGTAGTCTTACCCTTCTCCGGGGGATCTTCCCAATTCAGGGACTGAACCCAGGTCTCCCGCATTGCAGGCAGATTCTTTACCAGCTGAGCCACCGGGGAAGCCCAAGAATAATGGAGTGGGTAGCCCATCCCTTCTCCAGCAGATCTTCCCGACCCAGGAATTGAACCAGGGTGTCCTGCATTGCAGGCTGATTCTTTACCAACTGAGCTATTAGGGAAGCCCCTCATTACCCTCATACAATGAATATAAAAGTTTGATCTTTTTAATGATTGACATGTACCCCAAAGATGATGATGGGGAGCCTAAACCCTGAGGAAGAGCCGTTTGGAATATGCGTTTCTGAGTTGCAGGGATCAGGATAATAGTCTTAGATTTGAACCTGTAGTTGTACCTGGAAGGCAGCTGGCAATTTATGTATATAGTTCAGGAAAGAGAGTCAATTTTACTTCTAATACTTAGCACAATGCTTTGGTATGTTAAATGTTTATTGAAAGTATTTTCCAGATATGATCATAATATCCATAGATTTTTTTAAAAAAATCATAAAAAACATAAAATCAAAAACTAAAATGTCCATTTGCCACTGACCTTGCTGCCTATCATACAGACCCCTACAACCCAGGGACCCTCTCTTAATAATTCTGAGTACCAGTTCTGTGCAAGGCACTGTGCTGTTTACTTTGGGGAAACACACTTGCTGTAAACCTAGTAGAGAACATAATCTGTAAGAGGTGTCTGTGCACAGTGATTGTACACGAATTCAGAGATGGAAGTGATCGCTATGAACCAGACCTAGGAGGGGTCTCCTCTGGCTGCTACAGAGGAGCTAGTAGGGTGGCAGCAACTAGGAGAAACAGCGCAGTGAGTGGAGAAGCGTGATGTGGCGGGGCGCTCTGAGCCAGGCCCTGCGGTGGGCGTTCAGAGGCGGAAGATAGGAATGCACTGTTGAGAAAGGATTATGCAAATTCTCTGTATTGAGAGGTGTAATAGCCCAGTAATAAAGAATTTGGGCTGGCAGTCTGATTGCGTGGATTCTTAATTCTGCCATTACCTGCTGTGTGACTTTGAGCTAGTTACAATCATTCTGAGCCTTAGCTGCCTTATCTGTGAAATGGGGAAAATAGTAGGACTCCTTCATTGGTTATTGTGGAAATTATTTAAATTAATATATATTGGGCTTAGAATGGTACCAAGAACATAGTTTAAGTGTTCGTGCATTTTGGCTCTTTTCATTCTCCATGGAGGAAATTAGAAAAAAAAAAAGATTGGAGCTAAACTGTCTGCATAATATAAAATACTTCTTTCTTAAGGTCAGAATTGCTTTTCTACAGATTATACCGTTACTAATTTGATTAGATATCTGTAAGAGATGGGAACTGGTTTCCACCCCACTCCCCACCCCCACCCCCAGGCCACTGGAGAATGTAGAGGACTTAAAATTGTACTCCAGGTATTTCTTTGGCAGCATTTTGCATACTTAGAATTATTTTACCAATTATTTGTAATAATTTATTTAATTACTGTCTTGAATACAGGAACTGTCTATTTGGTTCATCCCCAATGTGTAGCACACTGCCTGGCACTTAATTGACACTCAGTATCTGTTTCCTGATTGAGTCTACTTGCTGGAGAGAAGCTGGCCCTTGAAGTGTGACTGCAGGTGTGGGGGAGAGGCGGGGAAGGGTGGGTGAGTAAGGACCAGGAGTATCAATAATGCAGTATTTCCTCTCGCTGTTCCTAAGCCTTTTGTAAAATTTTGCAAACTACTATAATTCGGATTTAGCTGTACTGTGTGGGATTAGATATGCAGCCTGGGAACATGCCTGGGACAAAATTGTCCCTGGAGAACAGTAACAGCCTGTGAAAGCCAGCTTTGAAAGAGTCAACTGTGATCAGCTGAGGGTGGAGGATTTTTCTGGGGTGAAAAAAACCAACCATGGTGACAAGCAACAACAGAATGATTTTCCAGAATTTGAGAGCATTCTTAAGAAATTCTGAAAGTAACTTAAAGAGAGAAGGCTCACAGAATTATAATTTGGATGTTCAAAAAAGGGCCCTAGGCTGAATAACAGAATTTGGGACTCTTAAGACCCATGAGCAAGCAGATAAATACAGAGACATAGAAGATGATTTGAGGAAGACATAAGTACACCTGGACTAATTGGAATTGAGGAGTTCTGCCCAGGAGTTCTGGGTAATGACACAGGGAAAGCAAGTAAATGGGGTCCTGGTCACTGAGGGCCATGGGTACAAAGCTAAAAATTTAAATCTTTTAAGTAGGTGATGTATACAAGTCATGAAGGACCTTTGAGCAGGGTAGTAGCATTATGAAAGTGGTACTCTGGAAAGATTAGTCCGTCGGTTATAAATTGGCATGAAGAAAGTTCACGGTCCAAAGGTTAAATAGAAGATTATAGTAATTGTTGAAACACAAAACTGAGTGATCTGAGTTAATAGCAATAGAGACCTTTCTGGGCATCATGAACTACATGACAATAGAGTACTCATTAGGAAAAAATTAACCATGGCCCCCAAAACTTAGCTACTGAGTGAGCTGTGAAGTGTTGGGTATTTGAAATACTAAGAACTGGGAAGTGGGAACTGTGTCAGGATGCTATGGTTGGAGAGGGGAAATCGCTCATTCTGCCTGCCCCAGCCCATGCTCAACCAACTTTCATCCTTACAACTTTAAAAACCTAGGTCTGAAGTTTCTGAAAACTGACTGAAGGCTTCTCAGTCATCCAGGAAATCAGCAAATGTTTGCTAAGAACTAATATCCTTCATTCTTCCACAGATATTTGTTGATTACTTACTATGTGCTGGGTGGGCCCTTCTAGGTACTACAGATATAGTGATCAACAAAAAATACAAAAATGTCTATTTTGGGGAGTTTACATTCTAGAACCCATAACATTTGTGAGGAGCAATGAGAGAAATACCAGTTACTCTCAAGAAACTTGTGTTGGAGAAATGACACGCTCATAATTTTTGCTGTTTTCAATCTGTATGAAATGGTATTTATTATTTTAATTGTTCAGACTTTTTTATGAGGTGGAACATTGTGTTTTGTATATTTCCTTGATAATATATATTCATTCTGGTGGGCAACTCCGCAGTTGAGCAACTGCTCTCTACTTCTCTAGTTTAAAAAAAAGGAATAGATGAAAGCAAAAGAACAAAGGAAAGAATAAAAGAGAAGTATGTGTCTCTTACAGTAAAAGCTGCATTAATTAGCACTAAAAAGGTGCATTTAGAGCCACATTTAGCAGTGTCCAACTGGTAAACTTTATACCTGATATCCTCTAATGTAAGTCTTCATGTCAGGAGACTTGGCACACGAGTTAAAGTGGATTGGGATAGGTGGGCTGAACTGATTTCAGTAAGATTGAAACTCGTGTGCTTAGTCGCTCAGTCATGTTTGACTCTTTGTGACCCCATGTATGGTAACCCGCCAGCTCCTCTGTTCATGGGGTTTTCCAGGCAAGAACACTGGAGTGAGTTGCCACGCCCTCCTCCAGGGGATCTTCCTAATCCAGGGATCGAACCCAGGTCTCCTGCACTGCAGGCAGATTCTTTACCATCTGAGCCACCAGGGGAGACCAAGGTTGAAACTTATCATTCCTGTTTATCAGAACTAAGTCACTGAGCTTTAAGAAACAGAATTTGTAAATTATTTTTTCTTATCTTTTTTGTTACTAGAAATGTGTGTGAGAGAAGTAGTAAAATAGAAACCACCTATGACAATATAAATTAACTTTCATTCAACCAAATTTTTCATCAGGTGTTACCTTTTATCCTCTTAACAAGTTGTAAAATAAAATACTTATTTTGCTTAAAACTACTTACTTCCTTCATATAAAGTAAGTGCTTACTTCCTACATATATCAAACTTGTCACTGAAGTTCTGAGGGGGCCTAGAGAGATCAGAGTCAAGGATGATTTGTAATGAAAGGACTTCTTGAGAAGGGAATTGAGGGACATTTTAAAAGAAAGGACAGTTGTGGATTAGCTTGGGAGGTGAGATTTCTAGGCAGAGAAAATGTTTCAGGCTATGGTGAAGAAGAAGAGAAGTCGCTCAGTCGTGTCCGACTCTTTGCGACCCCATGGACTATAGCCCACCAGGCTCCTGGGTCCATGAGATTTTCCAGGCATGAATACTGGAGTGTGTTGCCATTTCCTTCTCCAGGGGATCTTCCCAACCCAGGGATCGGACCTGGGTCTCCCGCATTCTAGGCAGACGCTTTACTGTCCAAGCTACCAGGGAAGCAAGAGGTAGAAAGAACATGTAAGATTATGAACTTCCTTGAATAGAGCAGTTGGACTATAAAGAAAGCTGAGTGCCAAAGAATCAATGCTTTTGAACTGTGGTGTTGGAGAAGACTCTTGAGTCCCTTGGACTGCAAGGAGATCCAACCAGTCCATCCTAAAGGAAATCAGTCCTGAATATTCATTGGAAGGACTGATGCTGAAGCTGAAACTCCAATACTTTGGCCACCTAATGTGAAGAACTGACTCATTGGAAAAGACCCTGATGCTGGGAAAGATTGAAGGCAGGAGAAGGGGACAACAGAAGATGAGATGGTTGGATGGCATCACTGACTCGATGGAAACGAGTTTGAGCAAGCTCTGGGAGTTGGTGATGGACAGAGAAGCCTGGCGTGCTGCAGTCCATGGGGTCGCAAAGAGTCGGATACGACTGAGCGACTAAGCTGAACTGGACTGCAAGGAGATCAAATCAGTCAAGCCTAAAGGAAATCAACGCTGAATATTCACTGGAATACTAATGCTGAAGCTAAAGCTCCAATATTTTGGCCATCTGATGCAAAGAGCTGGCTCACTGGAAAAGACCTGACGCTGGGAAAGATTGAAGGCAAAAGGAGAAAAGGGTGACAGAGGATGAGATGGTTAGATAGCAACACTGACTCAATGGACCTGAATTTGAGACAACTCCCAGAGACAGTGCAGGACAGGGCAGCTTGGCATGCTGCAGTCCATGGGGTTGCAAAGAGTGGAACATGACTTAGTGACTGAACAACAAAAAGTAAAATGGGGTCACACTGATGGGCCCTAATCCTATATGAGTAGCATCCTTATAAGAAGAGGAGATTAGGACACAGACACCAAGCGAAGACTCTGTGAAGACTCTGGAAGAGGACAGCCATCTACAAACCAAGGAGAGAAAGCTGAGAAGAAACCAACCCTGATCACACCTCGATGCTGGACTTCTAGTCTCCAGAGCTGTGGGAAAGTAAATTGCTGTTGTTTAAACCATACAGTCCAGGATACTTTGTTATGGCAGCCCTAGAAAACTAATACATGGAGGGAAGTGGATATATTCCAGATGTTTTTCTGGACCCAGAACCAAACCAACATTACTTTCTGATTGACTGAACTGGGGGTTGGGGAGTGGGAACTGGAAAAGTTGAGGCTGACTCTCAAGTTCCTGGTTTTCAAACTTTTAGAAAAAGTCTATTTAAAATATTTAACAAGAAGCAATCTTGTGAAATAAAAGGGCAACAGTTAATTGAAGCCCTTGAAATCTGGGGAGAAAAATGGAAATAAATGGGATCGTGTGTGGAGAAGTTTTTATTTTGCAAATGCAAGTCATTGACTGTATCATATTTAGTTTATGTACACACTAGGAATCTACTACAGTTTTGGATAGAAGATCAAGGGTGAAAATGCTACTTGAGGGAAATGGATTTTGAACTACAGAAAATTGATTGAAGCTGGAAAGGCCAGATGGGGCCTAGGAGACCAGCCAGGAGTAGGCTGCAAGAACTGAGGTATGAACTAAGAAGTGTCTGATATGTCAGGGAAAATCAAAGGGACTGAATACACTTCAGTAAACATTTAGTGCATTCAGTGAATACATTTGCATACATAAACAGTGGCCCCTTGAACAACACAGGTTTCAACAGCTCACACCCAGCTATCATTCACTAAATATACACCATGGTACCATATGATCTGAGTGGGTTGAATCCTCAGATGTAAAATCAAGGGACAAGTGTAATTTTATCTGTGGATTTTTGGACTGTGGGGAGGGTTGGAGCCCCAACCCACAGGTTGTATAAGAGTCAGCTGTAGATATTAAATAGCTGGAGGTCAGAAGGGAGATGTAACTAAACCTCCTGCTATTTTTTCCAATAGGCAGCAAGCCCACCTAACGTAATTTTTCTTCAAAGCTTTTTGGGGTCATGATCCATGCCTCCCAAACTGCTTTTTATAAAACTTAATAAATGTTGTAGATAAGCAATCTATTCTATTTTGCCGTTTTTAAAAGGTGGTATTATTATTTTAAAATAAATATGGTGAGATTTCTCTGGACCAGGAACGAGAAGCTCTGGTTCTGTCACAACAAAAGCTGTATGGCTTTGGGGGAAGTCATTTACCCAGTGCTATCCAATAGAACTTTCTGGGGTTAAGGGAGTGTTCCATATCTCTTCTATCTAATACTGGAGCTGCTAACCACATGCGTAGCTACTGAGCAGTTAAAACATGGCTAGTGTGACTAAGAACCCACTCCAGTATTCTTGCCTGGAGAATCCTGTGGACAGAGGAGCCTGGTGGGCTGCTGTCCATAGGGTCGCACAGAGTCGGACACGACTGAAGTGACTTAGCATGCATGCATTGGAGAAGGAAATGGCAACCCACTCTAGTGTTCTTGCCTGGAGAATCCCAGGGACAGAGGAGCCTGGTGGGCTGCCGTCTATGGGGTCGCCCGGAGTCAGACACAACTGAAGCGACTTAGCAGCAGCAGCAGTGTGACTAAGGGAACTGAATTTTCTATTTAATATGCGATTAGTGACTACCATATTGGACAGTGCAGAGTAACTTCTCAAGACCTTAAGTTCTTCTTGTGCAAAAGGTGGGAGCTGAGCTAAGTGACCTCCTTTGCCTTTTAGTTCTAAAATGCTGTCATTCTAATTCAGCATAAAAAATTCATATTCACATTGTAAGAGTTCAAATTTTGACTTCCTAAAACTGTATTTCCAAATAATAAATTATATACTTTTACATATAGAAAGTATCTAAAGAATGACCTCCACCAATTTAAATCAAATGTGTATAAATGATGTTTCGGACACTATATAACATATTGTGACTTAATAGCTGGAGAATAAGGGGTACTTAGAGAAGAGTCAGAGGACTGCAAGAGGAGAATTAAAGAGTTGAGAAACAAAACAGTGAAGAAAGTTTAAGAAACTGGGATCGTTTAGGAAAAAAAGACCGATGGAAGACAATATATTCAAGTATTTATGAAGGGTAATTAGAGATGGTATCCAGATATTCTCCATTAGATTGTCGTTGTTGTTCAGCTGCTAAGTCATGTCCAACTCTCTGCAGCCCCATAAATTGCAGCACACCAGGCTTCCATATCCTTCACTATCTCCTAGAGTTTGCTCAAACCCAAATTAAGTTAAAGAGGAAATAAGTTATACTGATGCACTTTCAGAGTTTGGTATATTAAATCCTCAAAAGAAATTCAGATTTTTAATTTAACTGTTTTAAACCATTTTCGTGCCATGTGTTATGCTGAAGATATGCAATTTCAAAATAATAATCACAGGACATTAACACTACAAACAAATAGGAATCACTGCTTACTAGATCTTTTTTAATTGACTTTTTAATTGGAGGAAAATTGCTTTACAATGTTGTGTTGGTTTCTAGATCTTTTAAAATAGGATTAATTGTCAACCTTTACGTAATATTCAAGACATCACTCTGAGATCCTTTACAACATGAATATGTTACCAAATATGTATTTTTTCAATTATCAAATACATATTATATACTAGATGTAGATATTTCTAGAATAAATGATGACATGAAAGGGATACTTATCTATAGAACAGTGAAGCATAATGTTTACAAAGCATGATGTTTTATATGTATAGATAAAGTCCAGATTTCTGTGTCTACCTCCAGGGTTTCTGATTCAGTAGGTCTGGGTTATGGTCTGAACATTTACATTTCTAACAAGCTTTTAGGAATGCTAATGCTGCTGGTTTGGGGGCCACACCTTGAGAACAATTGATAGAGAATATAATGTGCGGGCGTGCTAAGTTGCTTCAGTTGTGTCCAACTCTTTGAGACCCCATGGACTGTAGCTCACCAGGCTCCTCTACCCATGGGATTTTCCAGGCAAGAATATTGGAGTGGGTTACCATGCCCTTCTCCAAGAGAATATAATAAATTTAATATTTTTAGAAGACACATTTCCATTTTTAGTATAATTTTAAACAGTATAGTAAAGGCTGAGACTAGTAACCTTTCCTTTCAAGCCTGGATATGGGAAGCACGGGCCTGAATTTGACAACCTATATTGTGTATAGCACTAGAGAGGCCCTCTGGGGACTCGCTTACACGTTCCACTTAAGTTCTACCCTAAGTCTGAAGGGCTTCATACTCCAAAGTTCTTTACATCCTGCTCTCAAAATAAACTTTAATTTCTCCCATATGGATAACTTTAGCTAGATGTTAGAAGAAAAAGACATCTGATTTTAAATATATTTTTATACTGTGGCATGTATGACATTACATTGAAAAAAGCTTATTAACCAAAATGCATTACAGTGCTAAAACTATATATTTTATATGTAGGTGTTTGAAAGTGATCCTTTTGTAATAGGCCTGACATGTCCTCCAACACAAAAGAACAGGATTGAGCAATTTACTCATGCCCCCAATCTTTTCTGGAAGGCTATGATACCTTGGCATATTGTTTATTAGTTTCGGCAACCAGCTCATTCAGGTGGCAACCTGAGTAGTGGTGGTTTATGGTGGTTTAGTCACTAAGTTGTGTCCGATTCTATGCAACCCCATGGACTGTGGCCTGCCAGGCAATTTGTCCATGGGATTCTCCAGGTAAGAATACTGGGGTGGGTTGCCATGTCCTTCACCAGGGGATCTTCCTGACCTAGGGATCAAAACCGGGTCTCCTGCATTGCAGGCAGATTCTTTACCTGAGGAGAGTTACTTACAAATATTTTTTCTGCTCTCAGGGAATGTGTCTACTTAACTGTCAGAAAAGCCCATTGAAGTCAGTGAAAAGTTGACATTATAAACTTTTACAAAGAAGTCCTGTTTACATACTCTAGCTTATGTCTTTTCTAATCCAGCTCCCTACCCCAAATCATACTGTGTGACTGAACAGGGGTGAACATGGTTTGGGTTTTTTAAATGATTATTTACATATAGATGTCCATCTTTAAAGCATTTTAAACAATTCACAGTTGTTTTTTGCTGCTGTAGAAGAATCTCCTTCAAATCAGAGACAGTTTTATAATTATTGATTAGTGTCTAATATGGAACATGCATAACAATCAATAAAGGCTGTGGTGATAAACATTTTATATTTCAGTATTTAGAACATGAATTAGAATAAAAGAATAATTTCAGGACTATTTTAATTCACAAATGCACGCAAAATATCTTCTAAATTATTAAAATGGAGAACTCTGAAATAATGTGTTTGAGTTAAATAAGGAGGTACTCCTGAGAAACCTGTATGAACGTCCAGAAGCAACAATTAGAACCAGCACTGCAACCATGTGTAAAAGAATGAAACTAGAACACTTGCTAACACCATACACAAGAATAAATTCAAAATGGATTAAAAACCTAAATGTAAGACCAGAAACTATAAAACTCCTAGAGGAAAACACAGGCAGAACACTCTCTCTAACATAAATCACAGCAAGATCCTCTATGACCCAACTCCCAGAGTAATGGAAATAAAAATAAAAATAAACAAGTGGGACCTAATTAAACTTAAAATCTTTTGCACAATGAAGGAAATTATAAGCAAGGTGAAAAGACAGCCTTCAGAATGAGACAAAATAACAGCAAATGAAACAACTGACAAAGAATTAATCTCCAAAATATGCAAGCAGTTCATGCAGCTCAATACCAGAGAAATGAACAATCCAATCAAAAAGTGGGCAAAAGAACTAAGTAAAGTTTTCTTCAGAGAAGACATACAGATGGCTGATAAACACATGAAAAGATGCTCAACATCCAACCAGTGAAGTTGCTCGGTTGTGTCCAACTCTTTGCGACACCATGGACTGTAGCCTACCAGGCTCCTCCATCCATGGAATTTTCCAGGCAAGAGTACTGGAGTGGGTTGCCATTTCCTTCTCCAGGGGATCTTCCCAACCCAGGGATCGAACTCAGGTCTCCTGCATTGCAAGCAGATGCTTTACTGTCTGAGCTACCAGGGAAGCCCAACATCGCTCATTATTAGAAATGCAAATCAAAACCACAATAAGGTATCATCTCAGGCCAGTCAGAATGGCCATCACCAAAAAGTCTACAAAGAATAAATGCTGGAGAGGGTGCAGAGAAGAGGAAACCCTCTTACACCATTGGTGGGAATGCAAACTGGTACAGCCACTATGGAGAACAGTGTGGAGATTCTTTTAAAAATGGAATAGAACTGCCATATGACCCAGAAATCCCACTCCTGGGCATACACACCGAGGAAACCAGAATGAAAGAGACACGTGCACCCCAATGTTCATCACAGCACTGTTTATAATAGCCAGGACATGGAAGCAACCTAGATGTCCATCAGCAGACGAATGGATAAGGAAGCTGTGGTACATATACACAGTGGAATATTACTCAGCTATAAAAAGGAATGCATTTGAGTCAGTTTTAATGAAGTGGAAGAAACTGGAGCCTATTATACAGAGTGAAGTAAGTCAGAAAGAGAAAAACAAATACTGTATATTAATGCATATATATGGAATTTAGAAAGACAGTAAAGATGATCCTACATGCAGGGGACAAAAGGAGACACATGTAAAAACGGACTTATGGACTCTGTGGGAGAAGGCGAGGGTGCAATGATTTGAGAGAATAGTATTGAAACATATATATTACGATACATAAAATAGATGACCAGTGCAAGTACAATGCATGAAGCAGGGCAGAACAACCCAGAGGGGTTGGGAGGGAGGCAGAAGTGGGGTTCAGGACAGAGGGAAAAATATGTACCCATGGCTGATTCATTTCAATGTATGGGAAAAGCCATCACAATATTGTAATTATCCTCCAATCAAATAAATTAATTTTTTAAAAAGAATATGACATGGAAAAATGGACTGGTTCAATATTGGAAAAGGAGGACAACAAACCTGTATATTGTCACCATGCTTATTTAACTTTTATGCAGAGTCAATTCAGTTCATTGACTCAGTCGTCTCCGATGCTTTGTGTCCCCAAGGACTGTAGCATGCCAGGCTTCCCTGTCCATCACAAATTCCCGGAGCTTACTCAAACTCATGTCCACTGGGTCAGTCATGCCATACAACTATTTCATCCTCTGTCATCCCCTTCTCCTCCTGCCTTCAATCTTTCTCAACATCAGGATCTTTTCTTATGAGTTAGTTCTTCCCATCCAAAGTATTGGAGTCTCAAAGTGGCCAAAGTATTGGAGTCTCAACTTCAGCATCCGTCCTTCCAAGGAATATTCAGGGCTGATCTCCATTAGGATGGACTGGTTGGATCTCCTTGCTGTCCAAGGGACTCTCAAGAGTCTTCTCCAACACCACAGTTCAAACCATCAATTCTTCAGCACTCAACTTTCTTTATAGTCCAACTCACATGCATACATGACTACTGGAAAAACCATAGCTTTGACTAGATGGACATTTGTTGGCAAGGTAATGTCTCTGATTTTTAATATGCTGTCTAGGTTGGTCATAGCTTTTCTTCCTAGGAGCAAGCATCTTTTAATTTCATGGCTGCAGTTGCCATCTGCAGTGATTTTGGAGTCCCCCCAAAATAAAGTCTGTCACTGTTT